ACACCAGTCATATGTGTACTGTAGCACTATTCACGATAGCAGTCATGAAATCAACCTAAGCGTCCATCAGTGGTTGACTGGATAAGGAAAATGTGGTAGCTGGGTGCAGTGGCTCACGCCTGTAATCCCAACACTTTGGGAGGCCGAGGCAGGTGGATCACTTGAGGTCAGGAGTTCAAGACCAGCCTGGCCAACACGATGAAACCCATCTCTACTAAAAATACAAAAAATCAGCTGGACATGGTGGTACATGCCTGTAGTCCCAGCCACTCGGGAGGCTGAAGCAGGAGAATTACTTGAACCCAGGAGGCAAAGGTTGCAGTGAGCTGAGATTGCGCCACTGCACTCCAGCCTGGGCGACAGAGCAAGATTCTGTCTCAAATAAATAAACAGATAAAATAAAAAAGTGGTATATGTGTACCATGAAATACTATGCAGCCATAAAAAAGAATGAAATCAAGCCCTTTGCAGCAATATGGATGGAACTGGAGGCCATTATCTTAAGTGAAATAACTCAGAAATAGAAAATCAAATACTGTAAGTTCTCATTTATAAGTAGGAGCCTAAACAATGGGTACACATGAACATGAAGATGGAAATAGTATACACTGGGGACTCCAAAGTGGGGAGACTGAGAAGGGTAAGGGCTGAAAAATTACCTAATGGGTACTGTGTCCACTATTTGGGTGATGGCTAACTAGAAGGACAACCCCAACATTATGCAATTTATCCATGTAACAGAATTGCACATGAACCCCCTGAATCTAAAATAAAATAAATTTAAATAAAAAACTAATGATATCTAGTCCCATTGTATTACCACTGTTATACAAAAGGATTTTTTCAAACCTCAAAATGTTATCTAGTTTGTATTCTAACTTCCGTATTTTTATCCTAGTTTCCTAATCCTAGTATTAGTTTTATTTTTTTCCTTTCTTAAAATGTTAAAATGAATCATCACCATATTCAATTCTGTTTTTAAGAGTTACAACACTAGGCCAGGAGTAGTGGCTCACTCTTATAATTCCAGTGCTTTGGGAGGCTGCAGTGGGAAGATCGATTGAGGCCAGGAGTTTGAGACAGCCTTGGCAACACAGCAAGACCCCGTGTCTACTAAAAAAAAAAAAAAAGGTTAGCTGGGTGTGGTGAAACATACCTGTAGTCCTAGCCACTCGGGAGGCTAGGTGGGAGGATTGCTTGAGCCTAGGAGGTTGAGGCTGCAGTGAGCTATGATCCTGCCACTGCACTCCAGCCTGGGAAACAGCACAAGACCCTGTCTCTGGGGAAAAAAAAAAAAAAAAGTACAAAGAGTACAACTATGGATAAACCTATTCTTGACAAAAATGTAGTCAAATGGAAATATTGTAATGCCGTATATTATATATAGATATATTTTGACATGGAGTCTTGTTCTATCACCCAGGCTGGAGGGCAATGGAGCAATCTCGTCTCACTGCAACCTCTACTTCCCAGGTTCAAAGGATTCTCCTGCCTCACAGCCTTCCGAGTAGCTGGGATTACAGGTGGTGCCACCACACCTGGCTAATTTTTTTGTATTTTTAGTAGTAACAGGGTTTTCCCATGTTGGCCATGGTGGTCTCAAACTCTTGACCTCAAGTGATTCACCCGCCTAGGCCTCCCAAGGTGCTGGGATTACAGGCCTGAGCCACCATGCCCAGCCTGTAATGCTATATTAAGTGAAGAAAGCAAATATAGATTATTATATTATTTTGTTGAAAATACTTCCCATACTTTTATGAATAGGAGACTGAAAAGATATATGCCAAAATAATGGTTGTATGCCAAAATACAGTGGTTAAGATGTAGTTTGCAAGTAATGTGTAAGATTCCACCACCTCCCCAAAATGGCTCAGAGAATGAACTAGAGCTATAAACAACTTATTCAGGAAGCTATTTTTCAACACAGGTTAAAACTCCATTCTTTGAGATAACATTGTTTTAATCACCTACATGCATGCCACCTTCTGGAAACAAGGAGTATTTCACCATTAAAAGACTTCTAACAATAGAACTTGGTAATAAAGCTGATATTGGAATTGTTTATAAAAATCATTTTTAATTCAACATTTAATTTGGAAGCTTATGGATCACAATCAGGGTTGTTAGATCAGAGGAGGGGCCAATTTAAAATAATGAAAGATGATGGGTTACACACTTGTCCTAAATAAGTTGGTCATGGAAAAAACTTTATCTTATTATTTTATTTTATGTCCTCTGTAGGCCAGAAAAAAATCCTATTTTTAAAATAGTGGTAGGCCATCCAAAAGTAAGCTTTCAGAAAATGAAAAGATAAAAAATACTGCAACATTTGAATGCTCAAAAATGATGAAAAATTGCATTCCTATTTTTCACCTCTAAACCAGAGCCAATTTAAAACACTAAAATGTCTTTATTGTCAAGCAATGTCTGTATTCAGAAATAGAAACTTAATTTGATCTATGAATCAATATAGCTATGTCTCAAAAATGAACCAAAGTAGGAAAAAAAGCATGTTGCAGAATTACATTTATAGTGTGAGAATGTGCCCACATAAAGTGGGTCTAAACACAAGGCATCAGGGTCCACAGAAATGGATGTAGAATTAGAAATGGGTCTGAAGTGATAGCTACAAGGACTGCCTCTGAGGAAGGAGAAAGAACCAAAGTTGCATGGCAGCCAAAAGGAACTTTATGTTCTTAAGTGAGAATGATTCTATAACTTATATTTACCACAAATTAGAAATGCAAAAATAAGAGAACTGTTGCTTGTAAGAAAACAAAAAACAACAGAAACCCAAAACAACAAAACTTTGTTATATACTTGAAACTATCAGTATTTTGTGGTTTCACAGATGCAATATATATTTCTTATAATGAGAGCAGCACTGAACCGTGTCGTCTGTTTTTCTGTGTTGCAGTCCTGTGTGTGTGTGTGTGTTGCCAGACACATAATAAAGTACCTAGGAAATGCACAGCTGTAGTTTGCAAAGTGCTTTCAATTAGAGTTTCCTCATGGATAGCATAGCTTGTTTCAGTTGATTCTCTGGCATTAATAATTTAAAAATATTAATGCTTGTTACCTACAGGAATGAGGCCCCATGGCAGATGTAAAGATTCTTTCTTTTTTTTTTTTTTGAGATGGAGTTGCACTCTTGTCACCCAGGCTGGAGTGCAATGGCACAATCTCGGCTCACTGCAACTTCTGCCTCCTGGGTTCAAGGGATTCTCCTGCCTCAGCCTCCTGAGTAGCTGGGATTATAGGTGCACACCACCATGCCCAGCTAATTTTTGTATTTTTAGTAGAGACGGGGTTTTACCATCTTGGCCAGGCTAGTCTCGAACTCTTGACCTCAGGTGATCCACCCGCCTGGGTCTCCCAAAGTGCTGGGATTACAGGCGTGAGCCACCGCACCCGGCCAAGATTCTTTGTAAAGAAGCTAACTTGGAATAGTTTAGTCAAAGGCCTATCTCAAGGGACCTTTTGAGAGCTTTACTAAATCCAAGTTGGCATCAATTCATTGTCAATATTGAGTGCCTGTTACTTGTAAGGCTCAGTATGGTCTAAAGCAGGCAGGCTTGGCATTAGAATGTGAAACAAAGGAAGTAGGTGGTAATAACAGAGGGACTCAACTCCGTAATAGTGTAGAGCCTGGGCCTAGGAATCAGACTCACCTGGGTTTCAATTCCCATTGCACCACTTACTAGCTGTGAGATCCTGTGCAAGCCAAGGGAATATATAATGCCTACTTCATAGAGCTGTCAGGAGGGAAAATGAGATCATTATAAAGGGTTTGCTGCAGTGCTGGCACATAGTAAGCATTCAGTTAATGTTAGCCCCTGTTATTTTTTTTTTTCTGAGTCCTAATGAAGTTTCAACAATGTTTCCTTAGAATCATAAAACAGTTGGAGATTGAAAAGGCTTTTGAAGTTTTCTGGTTATCTCCACTGTCCTAGGAGATGACTTTCATCTCCTTTCCACTGATACTTAAAACCATGGAATAAATACCGCAACTGGATTATTCTAATTAGTGGTGGAATAACAGGAAACCACATGTGTGGAAAGACCAAGGGAATATGTGGGGGAAGAGGGAGACTAGTGGGAGAGGCACGGAGAGAGTATAAGGTGCACACTCCAAGGGGAGAAAATACAGGGAAGACAAGTAGAAAAAAAAAACCAAACACAGAAAAGATGTCCTCAGACAAGTGTAAGGACAAGAATGAGAAAAAGGAAAGAAGGGGAATACAGAGGGACCTTAATTTGTGAATGCAATCACCGACACGGTGTAAGAGGCAAACGTTCTGAGTTCTAATCACTGTAAAATGCATGGTTATAAAATATACTCTTAACCTCTGTGAGTCGTTTTCTTTAGAGTTTGCAGCGTGGATTAGATGAGATTAGTGGGATGGATGATCTGTTAAAGAGAAAACCCTTCAAATAAGCGGTTAAGAATGAGAGAGACAGCTGCAGAAAAAGAGAAGTGGAAAGAGAGAGGGAGGAAAGGGAAAGTGTAAGAGGAATTGTTAATAAGGCAGGTGAGGACTAAGGGAAACCACTGTAACGGTGCTGCTGCGGCTACTGTGGTGACTACTTCAGCACATCAAACGTTGACAACTTGCTAAGTTCGTTATTAGAGTTCTACATGCACAACTTCATGCTACCCTCACAGCATCTCTACGGGGCCAGGTTCTCGTATCATCCTCGTTCCACAGAAGATATAGAGAGTTTTGTAACTTTCCCAAGGTCTTACAGCTGGGAAGTTGTGGCCAGGAACGGATTCAAACGCACGTCTGTCCACCTGCCAAACCAGTGTTGTTAAAATCATCTCTAAAAACCTCGCAAAAGGCTTGGTTGCTAGTCATCCGGTCGGTTCAACGTCCGCGCCCAGGCACCACTCGCCACGCCCTTTCTCCTCCCGGCGGTTTCGAAAGTTCCACCTCTTCTCGAACGGCGTCCCGTCTCCGTGGAGATCGGCGTGGGGCGGGACTTCCTGCCCCACGCGAGCGCACTTCCGCCTCGAGCCGGAAGCTCTGTGGCTCACACCGCGGGTTCCTGCGCGTGGGGAATTGTAGAGTTTGCGTGGCGGGAACGCGGCGGCAGTGAGAGCGAGTGGCGCCGGCCGTTGCGTCCGGTGCGGCGATGCTGACCCCGGCGTTCGACCTCAGCCAGGATCCAGACTTCCTGACCATCGCCATCCGCGTGCCCTACGCCCGGGTCTCCGAGTTCGAGGTCTACTTCGAGGGGTCCGACTTCAAGTTCTACGCCAAGCCCTACTTTCTCAGGCGAGTTCTAGGTGCCTGGCCGCGGGAAAGGCGCATTCGTTAGATAGCTGCTTTAGCGGGAGAATGCAAGGTCGAGAGAGGAGTTCTCGATTGCGCGAATGCCATTTCCCGACGTTTCCGCAGCTTCTCTTGGTGACAGGGAAATGCCCTCCCTCTTCCAGGGGTGCGTTTTAGATGCTGCAGAAGCCCTTTTCCTTCTTAAGCTTTCTTAAATCCCATATCAAAGGATTGCGGAATCACTTGAAAAAGTGGCGTTTGTACCGTGTCACTTGCCCGTTTCTGCCCTGTCGCCCTAGTTCTCGTTCTGTTCTGACTTGTTCTGTTCTTTCCTTTCACTCCGCGTTCGCTCTCCCAGTCTCTCCCTCCCTACGAACGGCGCGCGCTGACATCCCCGTGACTTCCCAACCCGTCGGTCCTTTTAACTTTGCTCAGGCAGCCTTCTGTTGATCCATCTCTTGTCTGTCCCCTCCCTGCTTCCTGAAATTCTTACCTTTTTTGGACCTCTTGACACCATATTAGCCTAGTTCTCCTGCTTCCTTGCTGTCTGCTGCTCCTCTGTTTGGTTTTGCCCCTGATATGTGGTTGTTTCCCCCAAGTCTTCGTGAGGGGCCGTCAGTACTTGATCTGTTTAAATTATTCTCCTTGCAGAATCGTAACCTTAGTAGCAGCTAACACTGATCACCCGCAGTGTGGTGGACAAGCAGTTCCGTTAAGTGCTTTATAATGCCGTATCTCATTTAACTTTGACAGTGTTGCTTAGGGATAAGCACTGCTATTAACCCCATTCCACAGAACCCGCTGCTACATATTCATCATAAAGCATTGCCAATCTTTTTTCCTTCTCTTTATCCATCCTCCTAATCTTTCTCAAGTGTAGCTGCAGCCTGCTTTTCCCACCCAAGTACTTTTGTGATACAAACCTTCTCCACCAGTCAAGGTGGTTTTTTCACTGTTCCTGAACCAGTTTTGCTCGGATTCCCCTTAGACCGTGTAAAGTACCTATTTGAATATATTGCAATTTCCAGTTTCTTAATTCACTTATTTCTTTAGTTTGTTTATTGAGTTTCAGTGTTGGGATTATTGCGCTGAACAAGACAAAGTTCTGCCCTCATGTACTTTACACTTGGGAGAGGAAAATAATAAACTAGCCGTCTACCTAATTGTGGCAGGTGCTATGAGGAGAAAGAAGTGCATGATATAGAATGAAAAGGGGCCCATATTTTATAAAGTAGTCAGGAACAGCCTTTCTGGGGAGGCGATATTTAAGCCAGGATGTGAAGAATAGGAAGATTATGGTGGTAGCAAATATTTATTGAATTTTTACTCCAGATTGGTGCTTTATACGGTTTATCTCATTTGTTATTAGGACAGTATTACAATGAGGTTTTATTATTTACCCGTTGCCGTGGATGGATTATTTATGGGCACCCCCCCCAACTCTTCCCCCCAAATTCATATGTTGAAGGTCTAATTCCGGTGTCACTTCTGCTTTATTCATCAAAACAGTCCCAGAGCCTGCTGAATTTTAAGAGGAGGGGACATAGACCTTCATGGTTGGGAAGAGTGCTGTGAGATGGGCATTCTTTGAAAATACAGTTTGCCCCCAGGTGTGGTGGCTCACGCCTGTAATCTCAGCACTTTGGGAGGCCAAGGTGGGCAGATCACTTGAGGTCAGGAGTTTGAGACCAGCCTGACCAACATGGTGAAACCCCATCTCTACTAAAAATACAAAAAAATTAGCTGGGCTCGGTGGCACGCACTTGTAATCCTAGCTACTTGGGAAGCTGAGGTGAGAGAATCATCTGAACCTGGAAGGCGAAGATTGCAGTGAGTCAAGATTGTGCTATTGCACTCCGGCCTGAGTAACAGAGCAAGACTATGTCTTAAAAAAAAAAAAAAAAAAAAAATCCAGTTTGCTGTGGCATACCAAGGACGAATAAAACCTGGTCCCTCTCCTTGAAGAACGGAGAATGTAGCCGGGGAGGCACCCTGTAAGCAAATATGATTTCCTATGCAGTAAGAATTGAACTCTAGGCTTTTAGAGTTTAGGGGAAGGGAGCTGGTAATAATAGCTCACATTTTCTGAATGCTCACCTATTGTGCCAGCCACTGAGCTCTTTGCATTATCATTTCATGCTCATAGTAACTCTTGGATAGTTACTGTTATTTCCCCCCTTTACAGAAGAGGGGTTTATGATTCTTGAAGAATGATTAACTTGTACAAAGAAGGTTGTTACACATCTGGTAAATGGCAGATCTGGGAGTTAATTCAGATTCTGACACTAAAGTTAGTGTTTGTAACCATTATAACAAACTCATCCATAAACTGATTCCTTATTCTGGCTTAGAGGAATTTTCATTCTGAAAATGTATTGAAGCTTGAGGAAACCTTGGGATTAAAGGCTCTGGGCCATTTGGGACTGTCAGGTGTTTTTGTTTTTAATCATATTTAGTGGGAAACAAGGGGGAGGGCCATGGGAGGAAAGGAAGCTCAAATTTCAAGTTTGGAATGATATGGAGTGGACCTGAGATACCCTTCTGATGAGTTTAAATTATCCAGGCAGTATCAGGCAGCCATAGATGCTTTTTAAAATAGAAAAGTGACAATTAGATTCCTGTTTTAGAAAAATTCTTTTGGGGCCTCAGTGATTGAACTAGGGTAAAACTGGAAGCTGGGAAATCACTTCATTTCTTTTTTCTTTCTTTTTTTTTTCCTTTTGACACAGAATCTTACTCTTGCCCAGGCTGGAGTGCAGTGGCGTGATCTTGGCTCACCGCAACCTCCGCCTCCTGGGTTCAAGTGATTCTTCTGCCTTAGCCCCCTGAATAGCTGGGGCTACAGGCATGCACCACCACGCCCGGCTAATTTTTGTATTTTTAGTAGAGATGGGGTTTCTCCATGTTGGCCAGACTGGTCTTGAACTCCTGACCTAAGGTGATCCACCTGCCTCGGCCTCCCAAAGTGCTAGGATTACAGGCGTGAGCCACTGCACCCAGCCAATCACTTCATTTCTTTTAGTACTAAAGATGGGTAAATCCCCACATAAAAATGATGAGATTTGACACTTTTGCTTTCTGCTTTTTTTTTTAAGTAGTAATTTGCTTGATAAAAGCAATGGGTTTTATGTTTCTTTATTGTTTCCCATTGAGTATCCCTTATCTGTACAGATTGAGTATCCCTTATCTGAAATTTCAGATTTTCTAGAGTTTTTGAATATCTGTACATACATAATGAGATATCTTGGGGATGGAACTCAAGTTTAAACACGAAATTTGTTTTATATACACCTTATACACATAGCCAGAAGGTAGTTTTATGTAATACCTTTATTTATTTTGTGTATGCAACCAAGTTTTGACTGCTTTTTGACTGTGACTCATCACATGAGGTCAAGTGTGGAGTTTTCCACTTTGTGGTGTCATGTTGGTGCTCAAAAAGTTTCAGATTTTGGAGCATTTCAGATTTTCAGGTTAGGGATACTCAACTTGTATTTTAACAGTAGAAATAACTACTATTTATTATGGCTTTTCTATTTCAGTATCTATTTTATTGGTGACTAAGGGTATTCAAATAGAAAGATGAGTCATCTCTGATTTCTGCTTTCTTAATTGGGGAAAGAATCTAACTTATTTCGAATCTAACTTATTTAGTTTATTAAAATGTGAAAGAAATACTGAGGAACTTTAAAAAAAAATGATTATTTTGATGGTTAAATGTTTACAAGTATTGATGGCCACTTATGTTATAATTTAAGGACTTCATGAGACCTGTGTTAAATCTGCAGATTAACCCTTCCTGGAAGAATAGTAGAAAATGGAAGCGAGCAAGGGTCCTATGATGCAGATAAAGGTATCGTCTTCGGAATTTTTGTTAGTTTATTTCTTGGGATTTTTCACATTATTTACATAATAATCTTTCAAGGTACCATGGGGACCTTTTGATATCTTTCAAGTATAATCTTCTGATCACTCTTTCTTGCTTCTTAGTGTCTAGTGCCTGTTATCGATATTTTTGTCCCCCGCAAGTCTTTTAAAGTATTTCACAATATTCTTCAAAGTAAAGTTAAATACTCTGGTTCTATTTCCTAGAGTACTTTCCCTACATTTAGTAGACATTTAAAAGTAAAAATTAGAACATGTGAAATGATTGATCATAAAAAATGTAGATGACTTACGAGCTTATGAATGGAATCTTTCTTGTATAATTTTCACACTTGAATTTTAATAACAGGTAGGTGAGAGAGAAACTATGCATGGGTGGCATTTAAAGGCTAATTGAATTTTCTCCTCATGATTGATGAGCCCTTCATTTCAGCTAGCCATGAACCCATTTATTTTTCCTTTATAGAAGCCACTGGCTTCCTTTGTCATCGGATTTAGAATACCTTGTGTACTCTTGTGTACTTTATTCAATGAATATTTATTGACCTTACTGAACTGGGCTAAGGTGGGTTAAATGACAGAGATCTAACCCGTAATGCAGTGTAATTAATGTGTAATGAAGTATAGTGAAACTGCCTTCTTAGATAGTAAACTGGCTTTTAGTTATAGGTAAGTTGCATATTGAAACAAAATTATTAAATTTTAAAAGTACACAGGAGTTAAGGAAGATTGTATATGAGGAGATATTTGGGCTGAGTTGTATTTGATATGTTGAAATTCAGTTCAGTACACTGAAAGAGGCAAAATGTTTTAAAATATAAGAGTGCTAAATAATGTAGTAAGTTCTCAGGGAAGCCTAAATAAGATTGATAAACTCAGTCAAGGAAAGAAAAGAAGTACATAGAATTTGAGTCTGCCATAGACTTTAGGGATAGATCTCCTGACATGCCAGAAAACCTTATTGAGCCATAGTTGTTTTATCTAAGATTTTGTGTATTTTAAAAACTGCTGCCATTCTCCATTGGATTAGGTGTTCAGATTTTTTCCTCCTTTTCCAGAAGTCTAATTAGTAACTCCTCATTAATTCTAAGCTATTACCTTCTTAGGCCATTGATTTTTAGAAGTTTTAACTCGGATTCTTAATATTATCAGTAGGTGAAGGTCATACTGTATAAGGTCATACTGTATATATATATATACTGTATAGGTCATACTGTGTGTGTGTGTATATATATATATATATATTTTATTTTGAGACGAAATCTCGCTCTGTTGCCCAGGCTGGAGTGCAGTGGCATGATCTCGGCTCACAGCAACCTCTTCCTCCTGGGTTCAAGCGATTCTCCTGCCTCTGCCTCTCGAGTAGCTGGGACTATAGGTGCGTCTGCCACCACGCCCAGCTAATTTTTGTATTTTTTAGTAGAGATGGGGTTTCACCATGTTGGCCAGGATGGTCTCGATCTCTTGACCTTGTGATCTGCCCACCTCGGGCTCCCAAAGTGCTGGGATTACAGTCATGAGCCACTGCACCCAGCCAGATTAATAATTTTTTATAGGAATGAAGGCTTCTGAAAAACCCTTGTTAAGAACCTTTTTCTATCTTGACTTGTATTCACCAAATCTATGAGGACATAGTTTTAGAACTCTGTAAAATAGAATTATGTTTTACCAAGGCATGCATTTCTTAGATGTACTTATGAAGTCTTTGACTATTTTATTTTTTTTCTTTTAATTAAAATTTCTTTTTTATTATTTTCTGTAGAGATGGGGTCTTGCTATGTTGCCCAGGCTGTTCTTGAACTCCTGGGCTAAAATGATCCTCCTGCCTCAGCCTGCCAAAGTATTGGGATTACTGGTGTGAGCTATTGTGTCCAGCTTTTTGAATATTTTAATCTAAGCATAAAACAAATTTATCTTTAAGGAATTTTTACCATTCGCCTGCCCAAAGAAACCCCTGGCCAGCATTTTGAGGGGCTGAACATGTTAACTGCTCTTCTGGCACCAAGAAAATCCAGGACAGCAAAACCACTTGTGGAAGAAATAGGTATGTTTATTGCAGTTGGGAGGAAATTAAGATAAATAGAAATATTTGGAATGCTGTGTATTTGTAGGGGAAATGGGATATAGTGAATAGGAAATTGAAGAAAATACTTCAGGTATAAGGTGCTCATGTGAAACCGTATGAAAATAGCTTCTTTGGTGATATAATTAAGACATTAAAAGTCCTGTTGAACCAGATCTCTCACATTTTTGGACCAATTGAAGCAGCATTTTGTGGTTGGCAAAATATTAGCATCTTGAGCTAACATCAGAAGTATACAGTTCAGTGAGTTACGTAAAACAGGGGTCCCCAACCCTCAGGTTGCAGACCAGTACTGATCCATGGCCTGTTAGGAACCTGGATGCACAACAGGAGGTGAGTGGAGGGCCGGTAGTATTACTGCCTGAGCTCTGGCTCCTGTCAGATCAGATTAGATTCTCATAGGAGCATGAACTTACTGTGAACTGTGCCTGCGAACGGTGTAGGTTGCGTTCTCCCTATGAGAATCTAAAGCCTGATGATCTGAGGTGGAACAGTTTCATCCCCCAAAACTATCTCTATACCCCTTTGATCTGTGGAAAAGTTGTCTTCCACAAATCCAGTCTTTGGTGCCAAAAAGTTTGGGGACCACCGATGTAAAGTGAACACCACCTCTGTCAAGAAATAGAACATTTCCAACACCCCGGAACCCCATCCTGTATTCTTCCATTACTTTGTGCTCTCTCCAGGGTAACCAGTATTCTCTGTTTTGCCTGTTACTGTGTTGCATATATAGGTCATACAGTATGTGTTGTTTTTGTCTGGCTGCTTTCACTTAACATTATTTTTGTGAGATTTATTCATATTCTAGCTGAGATTCATTTGCTTTCATTGCTATGTAATATTCCATTGTATGAATATACCACATTTTTGGTTCTTTTTTTTTTTTTGCTGTCATGAATAGTGGAGCTATGAATATTCTTGTACATGTCTTTTGGTACATCTGTGTGGGCATTTTTTCCTATACTTTTTCTTCCCGTAGTTGTGCTTAAGTCCAATACTTAAAAAAAATTAAATTAAAATTTAACATATTCAGATGCTTCTGAGATTCCTGAGGAAGTAGTTGACGATGAAGAATTTGATTGGGAAATTGAGCAGACACCCTATGAAGAGGTATCAGAAAGTGCTTTGAATCCGCAGTGCCACTATGGATTTGGAAACTTAAGAACAGGAGTGTTTCAGCGGTTACAGGTATGTTGTCTTTCTGAAAGATCTTGATCTATAGGATTTTTCCATTTGGATATTTTAATTTCAGTTATGCTTATACTCAGTAGTTTTTAAAAGTAATATTACAGGAGGTGATTGTATTTAAGCACTTAGCACAGCTAAAGTACATAGATGTTCATTCCCTTCCATATCATTGGCTGTTCTGCCTAACTGTACTGCTCTTACAGACGCCCCGTGGCTTTCTTTTTTCTCCCCTTTATTCAGTATTCTAGACATGAAGTTTCCAAAGTGCGAAGCAGAACTCTTCTCTCATACTTCCTGCAAAGCTTTATGTTTTATACTTCTGAAAAATGTGATCATGTACTTACGGCATGATGTCTCTTCTTTTCTGTATATACATGAAATAGAATGTTCCTGGCGAGAGTGAGATTATGTGTTTTGATCAAATTGTCTAATTCTTGGTGTGTAGTAGGCACCATTGTCTATTTATTCTTTTTTTTTTTGAGACGGAGTCTTACCCTGTCGCCAAGGCAGGAGTGCAGTGCAGTGGCGCAGTCTCGGCTGATGGCAACCTCTGCCTCTCAGGTTCCAGCAATTCTCCTGCCTCAGCCTCCTGAGTAGCTGGGATTACAGGTGCCCACCACCACGCCCAGCTAGTTTTTTGTATTTTAAGCGGAGATGGAGTTTTACCATGTTGGCCAGAATGGTCTCAAACTTGAGCGATTTGCCTGCCTTGGCCTCCCAAAGTTCTGGGATTACAGGCATGAGCCACTGTGCCCAGCCCATTGTTTGTTTATTCTTTTTTTTTTTTTTAAAGACAGAGTCTCACTTTGCTGGAGTGCAGTGGCACGATCTTGGCTCACTGCGACCTCTGCCTCCTGGGTCCAAGCGAATCTCCTGCCTCAGCCTCCCAAGTAGCTGGGATTACAGGTGCCCATCACCATGCCTGGCTAATTTTTCTATTTTTAGTAGAGACAGAGTTTTGCCATGTTGGTCAAATTAGCCGGATATGGTGGTGTGTGTAATCCCAGCAGTTTGGGAGGCCGAGGCGGGCGGATCATGAGGTCAGGAGATCGAGACCATCCTGGCTAACATGGTGAAACCCCATCTCTACTAAAAATACAAAAAATTAGCCAGGTATAGTGGCACCTGCCTGTAGACCCGGCTACTCGGGAGGCTGAGGCAGGAAAATCCCTTGAACCCAAGAGGCAGAGGTTGCAGTGAGCTGAGATCGTGCCACTGCATTCCAGCCTTGGCGATAGAGTGAGACTCTGTCTCAAAAAACAAAACAGAACAAAACCTGTTTAGAATGTGGTTTATTATCTTAAGACATATTTGAATTTACCAAGGAGAGGGAAAAGACCCAGGTTCTGGTCCTGCTCCTGCCTATGTTTAGATTTGGGATACCAGGCCAGTTATTTGACCACAAGTAAGTTTTGTCTCCTCTTTTGGAAAGTGGGTATAAATTTGCCCACCTACTTTATAAGGCTGTCTTGAAAATTTAAAAAGAGAATGCATGTGAAAAGTCTTTGGAAAGTGTAGAATGCTGTAAAGACTCCTGCCCTTGAAAAATATAAAATGCTCTCAAAATTCCTTAAAGGGAACAAAATTGAGATTTACTTAGGAGCACATAATGCTGATAAAATAGCCTTCCTTCTAAAAACTTAGGTGTTTTTCTGCTGAGTTGTAGTCTGCCCATATTCTCTGCTTGATCACAATCGCTGGTGATCTCAGAGGTAATTAGAATAGTCAGTTTTGTCTGTAGCAGGAACTACAGTGAATGGACCTCAATTGTTTGGCCAAGAGATAGTTTGTGGTCAGACTGTTTGGGGCTTGCCAATCTAACGCTATACATGAATGATAATAAATGTCACACGACTAAGTACAGATTTTACATTTAGATTAGAAGTGCTTCTTGAGGCCAGGGGTTTGTTACTTAATTGTTGCTGCTGTTTACGGAAAATCCTTTTGAAGGATTTCTGACACGTTGCTGAGATGTTGCAGGAATGCCATAATGTGAACCTAGAACGAGTCCCTTTTAGGTCAGAAGTTCTTGTATCTTGAAAATGTTCACTTAATAAATAATTTAATTTTTTTTTTTTAAAGCTGCTATACTTTCTATCTTTTTGGATGTCTTAATTAATGTGTCAAATACCTAGATATTTATTACTTTGGTTAAAAACATTAAATATTAACCAATACAGTTCACTCCTGTCTAATCCCTTTTTGTTTACATCCCTCTATTTCCCATCAGAAATAAACCACTGTGGCTGCACGTGGTGGCTCATGCCTGTAATCCCAGCAATTTGGGAGGGTGAGGCAGGTGGGTCAGGAGTTCGAGACCAGTCTAGCCAACATGGTGAAACCCTGTCTCTACTTAAAAATACAAAAATCAGCTGAGCATGGTGGCGCATGCCTATAATCCCAGCTATTTGGGAGGCTGGCAGGAGAATCGCTTGAACCCAGGAGGTAGAGGTTGCAGTGAGCCGAGATTGCGCCACTGAACTCCATCCAGTCTGGGTGACAGTGAGACTAAATCTCAGGAAGAAAAAAAAAAAAGGAGAAAAAAGGAAATGAACCACTGAATTTAATGTTTATTATTCTAAGCGTTTAAAATGGTTTAATTGTCTAAAATCATTAAACTCTTCTTCAAATTTTAATTGCATGAGCATTGTTTTTCTAAACAATTTGAATGCATATTCCCTAATGTAGGGGAAAAACGGCTGAGCATCTGGGAAAACTCTTAAGGGTTTTATAAAGTGAATAGTATACTACTTGTAGTATAGGTTTATAACCCCATATGTGGAATGCTGGGATCACACAAAGTTCTGAAAACTGAAAGTTTTAAAATACTTAATTTGATGGCAAAACTTAACCTGAAATGATACAGGTTTTTAAATCCCACTTAGTGTACATATTCAAAACTTCCTTGTAGAAGTAGTGTTTGGATATGGGCGCTGCCCCAGACATCTTAGAGGGTATTACATAAAATATGGTGTGCGCACCATGTTACCTTTCCAAACTCTGAGTGAATCCTGAAGCCCACCTTGCTCCAGGGGATTTGGATAGCACTGTGCTGAGTACTTTGTGTGCAGCAACCAGACTTTTTCAGAAATCAAGTGTAAACCCAAGATTCCAAAAATTCAAATGTATCCTCTTGAAGGTATTAAGGTAGATATGTTTTATGAAATATTGCCACAGAAATCTTGCATAATTGGTTAATTACTTGTAGAGTTCTTCTGCATTCACAGCTGCTCTGTTTATGGCAGCTGTAACAAGTGGTTCAAAACTGAGTGATCATGTGAGGTTAATAATGTGACCCTATTTCTGTGAGTAAAGCAGCTAGAAGAAACTGAAATGATGATCACAAATAAGATATTTTAGAACATTTCTTCTAATTTAAAATGATTTTGAAAACTTCACCATTTTCTCAAATACTATTTTCACACAAGTTTATTTTTTCTAGTTCTGCCCGTAGATGAAGAGATGTCCATACAGCTTCATTAACTATTCATATCAGTATTTTTACAGCTTTTTCCTCCCTCCATAGATGAAAAATGGCTTTTCTTGTTTCTAAGAATAAGAGCAATACAGATTTATTATAAAAATATAATACAAAGAAGAAAGTAAAAAAATTCATAATTTCAACTCAGGGATTTTTTCTTCATTGAATAATTTAGCCCTTTACAGAAGTCTTTCACATTTTTTGCCTCCAACTTTTTTTTTTTTCCCCCTGAGACGGAGTCTTGCTCTGTCGCCCAGGCTGGAGTGCAGTGGCGCAATCTCAGCTCACTGCAAGCTCCACCTCCTGGGTTCACACCATTCTCCTGCCTCAGCCTCCTCAGTAGCTGGGATTACAGATTCCCACCACCATGCCTGGCTAATTTTTTGGTAATTTTTAGTACAGACGGGGTTTCACCGTGTTAGCTAGGATGGTCTCCATCTCCTGACCTCGTGATCCACCCACCTTGGCCTCCCAAAATGCTGGGATTACAGGTGTGAGCCACCGCACCTGGCCTGCCTCCAACTTTTTAGACAGGGTTTGCTTGTAAACTTCTATATTTTATACTGATAATAAGAAAATAAAATATTTTTGCTGAAACAAATTCTCTGAACATTCCTCCCTCTACTCCCCATATACAGAGATATACGCTCCCTACCCCTAGTCTTTTTTTCCTTTCTGAAATTGCTGCCAGCCACCAGGGTGCCTTTGGAAAACTGCCCTGGCTGCTCAAAGTCAGGACTTCACAATAAGCTTCTGGCAGTGGTGGCTGCCAGCAGCAACAATCCTAGAGTCTTTGGGCGCCAACCCAGCAAGCTCCTGGGACTGCTGCTGCCAGCGCCTCAGGACGCCAGGCTTGCTGGCCCTGTCCTTTTGACTACACGGGGACCTGAGGCCATTGTTTCCAGGAGACCCACTAGCCAGATGTGTTCACTGTTCTTTATTTTCTCTCTGGATTGTCTCTGCCTAACCTATGCGTTAACTTCCATAAGCCCAATTTAAATCCTACATGACCTTTTTTTGGCAATATCTATCTTTAAATAGCTGTAGTAACTAGTGGCCATAGCAGTTGTTTAAAAGAAAAAGGAACCTTTTTTTCCTGCTGTAGTTGAACACTTCTCATCCTCTTTCTTCCGTTTGGTTGATTGATGCCTTCTACTTCCAAACCCCAAGCTACCTTTGCTTTTAGTTTGTTTCTGTTTCTTTTTAGGGTCCAGTTTGAACAGGGCTGCTGCATGTGACTGTGCATAGAACAAGCCTGGGTGGGGCTTGCACTGCCATAGAACACTCACGTTCTGCTGTGTACACGTTGCATGACTGTATGTGGAGGCCCTGAATCTGGAGGCCAGGGGGAAGAGGAGAGAGGAAAAGAGCTGCTTTATTTTATTTTATTTTAGTTTTAGAGACGGAGTCTCGCTTTGTCGCCCAGGCTGGAGCGCAGTGGCATGATGTCGGCTCACTGCAAGCTCCGCCTCCTGGGTTTACGCCTTTCTTCTGCTTCAGCCTCCCGTGTAACTGGGACTACAGGCACCTGCCACCATACCCGGCTAATTTTTTGTATTTTTAGTAGAGACGGGGTTTCACCGTGTTAGCCAGGATGGTCTCGATCTCCTGACCTCGTGATCTGCTTGTCTTGGCCTCCCAGAGTGCTGGGATTATAGGCATGAGCCTGTAATCTCTCTCTCTCTCTCTTTCTGTCTCTCTCATAGAGTCTGGCTCTGTTGCCCAGGCTGGAGTGCAGGGGCATGATCTTGGCTCACTGCAGCCTCCATCTCCTGGGCTCAAGCCATCCTCCCACCTCCGCCTCTCGAGTAACTGGGACTACCAGCGTGAGCCACCACGCCTGGCTAATTTTTGTATTTTTTGTAGAGATGTGGTTTCTCTGTGTTGCCCAGGGTAGTTCGAATTCCTGGACTCAAGCAGTCTACCCGCCTTGGCCTCCCAAAGTGCTTGGTGTGAGCTATCACGCTCAGCTTGTATGTAGTCTTTTACAGGATCTGAAATCTGAAATGATCCAAAATCTAAAACTTTTTGAGCACAAACATGGCCTTCAAAGGAAATACTCTTTGGAGCATTTTGCATTTGGGCTTATTGGAATAGGCCTGATGAACTGGTATAATGCAGGTATTCCAGAATTTAGAAATATTCAAGATCCAAAACACTGTGATCCCAAGCATTTCGTATAAGGGATATTGTCTGTATGGTAATGCTTCTTTAGGCCAGCTGAGCTAGACTATAGGAAGAAAGAAGAGACTATGTGTAGATGTCTCTTCTTTAGAAGCCACTCTACGTTAATAACTTTCAAATATCTAGATGTAAATGGGGAAATGGATGTTAAGTGTTCCTGCTTGCTTGTAGGGGTTTATTCTATTCTGTTTTTTATGTTAAACTTTTATAGCCTTAATATCTGTCAGTCAGCTTGTTTGTTGTAAGGATTAAATGAGATAAGTTATGAGAAAGATCTCACAGGGCCTACCAAGTAGTAGGTGCTTAAACATTTGTTGGATTTGAATCTAAATGTCACAGGTGGCATCATGGTTTACTGATCAGTTAGGTTCTTCCTGTGCTTTGGCATTTTGTATAAAATTTGAGTTTTAAATGCTAAAAATAGGAGATAGCAATTATTTCTTTTCTGGGTGTCCTCAGGATGAATTGAATGATGTTATTGATGTTAAGAATCCAGATTCCACCCCTGCAGCTGAACGAAGACAGAAGCGCCTGGCTGCTGAGCTGGCCAAGTTTGATCCTGATCATTATCTGTGAGTAATGAGGTTTTTGAGGATTAAATAATTTACTTGACATTTATTTTAAAATTTTTGAGTATCTTTTTAACTCTGCTAGGGATGTGCGTTTTGGATTCTAGAAACTATTGAAGACTGAAGACCTTAATGGACGTTTGAATTAACCTACAACTGTTGTATCTCTGTAGTCTTTGTAAGATGTTGCCTCTTATATCTCAAGTTGTTCATCTTAGCAACAGAGAACTCTTCTAACATACTTTTTAGTTTTTTTCTTGCCGGGCTTAAAAATATAATACTGAGGCCAGGCGCGGTGGCTCACGCTTGTAATCCCAGCACTTTGGGAGGCCGAGACGGGTGGATCACAAGGTCAGGAGATTGAGACCATCCTGGCTAACATGCTGAAACCCCGTCTCTACTAAAAAAATACAAAAAAACTAGCCGGGCGTGGTGGCGGGCACCTGTAGTCCCAGCTACTAGGGAGGCTGAGGCAGGAGAATGGCGTAAACCCGGGAGGTGGAGCTTGCAGTGAGCCGAGATTGCGCCACTGCACTCCAGCCTGGGCGACAGAGCGAGACTCCGTCTGAAAAAAAATATATATATAATATTGAATTCATGAGACTATTACACTTCTTTTAAGTAAGCTTTTGGTTGTGATTAACGGTATGCATAAGTGAAAGTATGTTTCAGTTTCTTTAAGAATTTGAATGTACCTGTACCATATTTCTTGGCTGATCCCAGGATCTTCCTAATGCTTTCATCCACTAGCCCTTGTAATCAATGATATGTTTCCAGTGAACAAGTAACTATACTTTGTGGTAGAGTATAAATAGAATCTAATTTGAAGTTTTGCTGTATTTCCCACTGGCATTAATTGTGTTTTTGGCTATAATGTGTCTCCATCAGGCTTACATTTGCGTAAAGAACTTATCTAATTAACAGATAGGTACATGATGACTTGAGAGATTGTGATACCTCCCGCTGGCCAGGATAGCAGCATTTCTTCCAAGGATTGTTGCTTGACCTCTCTTGGACATGTGGCTCTATTAGGATGCATGGAGAATGAGTGTTTTAGGTTGATGTAGACCTCAATTATTATTCTGGGTCAAGATTTTTTTAACTGTTACATATATAGCTATAATCATTGTATCTCATTATATTGGTATAGTACCTGCAGCTTGTGAAGTGCACTTGTGATTATTCAGTTTTCACAGCAGATGAGGAGAGGAGGTTAAGGGACTTGCTCAAGGTCACACTACTACTAAGTGGCTTGGCCAAGACTTGAAAAGAGTCTCTCCATTTGTCATTTTGTATATCCTTTTCATGTACACTATTTCAGTTTAACTGCTGTAGCTCTTGTGATTAACATTCTATCTCCTGTGACACAGTAGGATACTAATTGGAATGGCAGGGATATATCTTGTGATGTGCAAATGGAATGAGTGATGTGTAATGATAAATGGTTGAACTGTTTAACATCCTAAGGGAAACTGGGTGAGAGCAGGGGATGTTACATTTTGGAGGACATCTGAGAGATTGAACTCCATTTACATTGCTTTTTCTAATTACCTTTATCTCTCCAATTGTGGTTTTAAAGGTCCACTGAAGAGTAATTTGAAGAAACCCATTTAAAATCATGTTGAATATTTAAAGTGGAAATTTCATTGTCAGCAAATTTCTCAGGCTAGCATAAAAACAGAGTGAGCTTTACAAGACTGAAATTTCAAGTGGGAGGGAGCTTAATTAGAAGAACTGCCTATCTCCTCTCTTCTAAAACTAGAAGAATAACTATGGCCTGAGAGAATTAGGAAATTGGAATTTATAGTTAGCAGTGTGATATTATAAGCAGCCCTTATTTTTCTCCGTCTTCTGTGTGTCTTTATCCAGAAGCTCGTTTTCTTTAATACTATGCATGAAATATTCTTTCCACTTCTCAAAGAACAGTTCTTACAGGAATGGTTTAAATTTAGTTATGGGCTAAGTGAAGAGAGTGGGAGTCATGAGGTAAAGATTCTTTGTGACTTTTCTGATAGCAGTAAGACTTTGACTCTGTGTAATTTTTGTGTTACTACTCATTATTAGCTGACTGACTCATCCAAATGTGTTAATATGATATGAAATACAACTAAAATTCTTTTAAATTTTTAACTAAAAATTCTTTCTTTAGCTTAGTGCTTTTTTCTTGTTGTTAGTGGTTAAAACAGTGGAGGAAAAAAGGCTCACTTTAAATTACCATCTACCATGCAGATAATACATGGTAATATACACATGTAATACATAACGTATGTAGTATTAGCATAATATTACCTGACTCACCCAAATGTATTAATATTAAATGAAATGCAACTAACATGCTTTTAAATTTTTAATTAAAAATTTTTTTAGTTCAATGCTTTTTTTGTTGTTGTTAGTGGTTAGAACAGTGGAGGAAAAAAGGCTCACTTTAAATTACTATCACTGTGTAGATAATACATTATGATATACACTTGTAACACATAATGTATATATTAGCATAATCAATAATGTATATAATATTACCTATTTGTAAGTTGTTTGACTTTGTCTTTGCAAGTCATAGTGTTTACTCATGTTGTCAGGATTTGGGAGGCTTTAGGAAAACAAATTTTAATTTCAGCCTAAGCAGAACACAGTGAAGTCAATTGATTGTAAAGAAAAATTTATACATTTCAAAGGCATAGATATGATTTTAGGTTGTTATTTAAAAGTCTTTTATTGTAAAATCTGGATGTTATTTAGGTATAATCTTTTTTTTTTTTTTTGGCATGTTTTGCAGCCCACTACAGTGATCGGCATATCATAGATGATCCATAAATGTTTATTGTTTTTTATTATCCATTTCTTATTTGTAATTCCTTTGGGGTATTAGTTTTACACTAAAATATGTTGACAGCATCTTGAAACATTTCTTTTTTTTTTATTATACTTTAAGTTCTAGGGTACATGTGCACAACATGAAGGTTTGTTACATATGTATACATGTGCCATGTTGGTGTGCTGCATCCATTAACTCGTCATTTACATTAGGTATATGTCCTAATACTATGCCTCCCCCCTCCCCTACTCCATGACAGGCCCTGGTGTGTGATGTTCCCCTTCCTGTGTCCAAGTGATCTCATTATTCAATTCCCACCTATGAATGAGAATATGTGGTGTTTGGTTTTCTGTTCTTGTGATAGTTTGCTGAGAATGATGGTTTCCAGCTGCATCCGTGTCCCTACAAAGGACACGAACTCATCCTTTTTTATGGCTGCATAGTATTCCATGGTATATATGTGCCACATTTTCTAATCCAGTCTATCACTGATGGACATTTGGGTTGGTTCCAAGTCTTTGCTGTTGTGAATAGTGCTGCAATAAACATACGTGTGCATGTGTCTTTATAGCAGCATGATTTATAATCCTTTCGGTATATACCCAATAATGGGATGGCTGGGTCAAATGGTATTTCCAATTCCAAATCCTTGAGGAATTGCCACACTGTCTTCCACAATGGTTGAACTAGTTTACAGTCCCACCAACAGAGTAAAAGTATTCCTATTTCTCCACATCCTCTCCAGCACTTGTGGTTTCCTGACTTTTTAATGATCTCCATTCTAACTGGTGGGGGACGGTATCTCATTGTGGTTTTGATTTGCATTTCTCTGATGGCCAGTGATGTTGAGCATTTTTTCATGTGTCTGTTGGCTGCATAAATGTCTTCTTTTGAGAAGTGTCTGTTCATATCCTTTGCCCACTTTTTGATGGGGTTGTTTTTTTCTTGTAAATTTGTTTAAGTTCTTTGTAGATTCTGGATATTAGCCCTTTGTCAGATGAGTAGATTGCAAACATTTTCTCCTATTCTGTAGGTTGCCTGTTCACTCTTTTGCTGTGCAGAAGCTCTTTAGTTTGATTAGATCCCATTTGTCAATTTTGGCTTTTGTTGCCATTGCTTTTGGTGTTTTATACATGAAGTCCTTGCCCTTGCCTATGTCCTGAATGGTATTGCCTAGATTTTCTTCTAGGGTTTTTATAGTTTTACGTCTAACATTTAAGTCTTTAATCCATCTTGAATTAATTTTTGTATAAGGTGTAAGGAAGGGATCCAGTTTCAGCTTTCTACATATGGTTAGCCAGTTTTTCCAGCACCATTTATTAAATAGAGAATCCTGTCCCCATTTCTTGTTTTTGTCAGGTTTGTCAAAGATCAGATGGTTGTAGATGTGTGGTATTATTTCTGAGGGCTCTGTTCTGTTCCATTGGTCTATACTTCTGTTTTGGTACCAGTACTGTGCTGTTTTGGTTACTGTAGCTTTGTAGTATAGTTTGAAGTCAGGTAGCATGGTGCCTCCAGCTTTGTTCTTTTGGCTTAGGATTGTCTTGGCAATGCGGGCTCTTTTTTGGTTCCATATGAACTTTAAAGTAGTTTTTTCCAATTCTGTGAAGAAAGTCATTGGGAGCTTGATGGGGATGGCATTGAATCTATAAATTACCTTGGGCAGTATGGCCATTTTCATGATATTGATTCTTCCTATCCATGAACATGGAATGTTCTTCCATTTGTTTGTGTCCTCTTTTATTTTGTTGTGCAGTGGTTTGTAGTTCTCCTTGAAGAGGTCCTTCATATCCCTTGCAAGTTGAATTCCTAGGTATTTTATTCTCTTTGAAGCAATTGTGAATGGGAGTTCACTCATGATTTGGCTCTGTGTTTGTCTTTTATTGGTGTATAAGAATGCTTGTGATTTTTGCACACTGATTTTGTATCCTGAGACTTTGCCGAAGTTGCTTAAGAGATTTTGGGCTGAGACGATGGGGTTTTCTAAATATACAATCATGTCATCTGCAAATAGGGACGGTTTGATGTCCTCTTTTCCTAATGAATACCCTTTATTTCTTTCTCCTGCCTGATTGCCCTGGCCAGAGCTTCCAACACTATGTTGAATAGGAGTGGTGAGAGAGGACATCTCTGTCTTGTGCCAGTTTTCAAAGGGAATGCTTCCAGTTTTTGCCCATTCAGTATGATA